TGTGTCATGACTTTTCTGACAAACCAATAGTATATTACAAAATTCAAACAAACAAAAACCTCTTTTTAGGACTAATAGGTGGTCTGGTGTTTGCAGCACTGAACTCCCATATGGCGTACTATGGTGCAAGTCCAGAACTTGCAGCTTGAAAATCATGCCATGCACGTATGCGTGCATGTCCAAAATCCCAGGAGAAGATTGGCAAAGGGACTGTGGCATGGCCATCTCCCTGAGGGGTGATTTCTCACTTTCTCTCTCACTGTCTCTCTCTGAGAAGTGTGCACGCCCTGTGGCAAAACCTTAAAATACAAAATTTTAAAAAACCTTTTTCTCAAATGCACCTTTTTAAAATTTTTGATTATAAAGGTTTTTATATTTAAATGCATGTCATTCTGAAACACGTATTTCTCTGTATCTCAATCCATTATGTTATTAGCAATGTCTTTAGCTGTCGTTTTTTGGGCAACATTTGAGACATAACAGACTGGAAATAATGACATATCCAGATAGTTGATCAATGTATTATTTCCATAGGCTCATGGATTTTGCAATGTTGATTATATAGAAGGTATTCAATATTAAATATTCAGTCCAAAGCCTTACTACTTTTGCACTATTTTTCCATTCTCTTTGTATTTTTTTCTTCTAAACTTTTGCACATTTTTTTTGTCTTATCCTCTAATCTTCTATTTTAAATGGCAATCTTGGCCTTTTTTAATGAAAAAGTGTCTCATGGGTTGTGAATGCTATGTTTGAATCTGAATTCTCAACATTGGCAAACTCTTCAGTGATAAAGAGGTTATGAATATTTAAGAGAATGCGGATTTGGATGGTACCCACTCTGTTTTGATTGCCAACATACAGTTGGCATTTAGGAGATAGTCTGAAGCTGTGGTCACAGAACAATATAATTTGTAAGTGAACGAACAGGCTTTTTTTTCTCCATGGACTCGTGTGTGTGCAAAGACAGGGCTGGAGACAAAAGGAGCCGGATGACCGTGGCTTTATGCATGTTCTCACTGGTTAAGCTACGAATCCGTCATCCCGTCCACTTGCAAGCCTCGTTTTCTAAAATAAATACACTGATGGAAATTAAATGTGGGTGTTTGTGCAGTATAATGATTCCAAACAAAGGAAGCTAACACTGCTTTAAAGGAAAAAAAAAAAACAAAAAACTACTAATTAATCAGATCTTTGAGATACAAGAGCAGAGCCCGTTGAATAAATTTCACTGTCCCAATAGGACAATTGGTTACAGAGAAGAAAAAACTTTATTTGACTGTTTGACATCATTTTGACAACAACCGAAATTTTCTCTCTAGATATTATATACTTACTTGGCCGAGTTTCTCCACATCTGTTTAGTATCATACAGAAACGACCATAGACAGAGTATACAAATATATGGGTATGTACATACACATACCTACCCACATATAACGCGGACATGTACTATGTAATTTAGAGAGAATGATGGCGGTCAGCAAGTGGCATGGGGGTTAAGGCAGCTGGATCTCACTTGATTGACCTCACAGTTTGCGTCCTGGACCTTATGGCTTGAAAATTTCGCTGTGCCCATGTGTGTACCTGGCCAAAATCCCAAGAGGAGAATAATAGAGAAGAGATTACAGTGTGGCCATCCTCCTCTCTTTCTCTCTGTTTCTCTCTCTTTGATGAGTTTACATGTCCTATAGCAAACTAAAATGATTAGTAAATAAATATTTAAAAATAAATGATGGAATAAATGCTTGATAGGTAGAGAAAAGAAGGCTTACATCATTCTTAATAATCCCTCATTGAATCTTGACTAATAGTGTTTAGTAGCATATGTATAACCAAAAGGAAGGGAAGGGAAGCAAATTTTGTTGGGCCAACAGGTGCTGTGGTAGTTAAGGTGCTGGACTAGCATGGCCAACTATGGTTCAAGTCCCAGACCTGCTGGTTTGAAACTTATGCTGGGTGTGTGTGTATGTGTGCCCAGAATTATAGGAGGAGAATGGATTGTGCCATGACCATCTTCCTCTGGGGGATGATTTTTCACATTCCTCCTCTCTGTCTCTCTCTGGCAAGCACATGGGCACTATGGGAAAACAAAACAAAAAGCTTGTAGGAGTGCCAAGCAAAGCTATGAGAGAGTCATATAGAGTAGGACATTTTATGGAGGTTGCAAATAAAACTTTGAGAGGGAGATTCAGATGTTTCAAATTTTTCACTTAACCTAGATGAAATGACACACATAGCAGCATTGTGGTCAATGTAAAAAAAAAGCCAAAGATTTAGAAAGAAATCTTTTTGGACATCACCATCACAAATGAGGCATATGCTATAAAATTAATGTTTTTCTCTCCAGAAAAAAAGTTATCTTGATATCTCCCTACCCAAATCCTTCCACCTTATTTTTGTAAGTTGTTTGAGAATTTCTCGTCTGTTCTTTTCCATTTCTGAATCATTTGCAATTTTCTGCTACAGCAGCTTTATCCACAATGTTAAAAAGTAAAATACATTTGCAGAAAATTTTATATGTAAGTGTACACTAGAACTATTGATTTAAAATTCATTACGCAGCAACCAGAAAAGATAATTTAGCACAGTATGGTGTTCTGACTTCAAAAATAATTTTCCTCCGATTAGTCTCTCTATCTTTTTTCTATTTGTTTCCATTGTAGTTGTAAGTGCATATAAACTTCTTATTCATTTGGTTCAGGAGTTTGGAAGTTCTAGTTGTCAACTGCTGACCCTCCTGTTTCACATCTGTAAATGAACACCTCAGCCACGAGCCTGCCCATATCATTTAATATGCATTCCTGACCTACTGGCAAGCCTCACAGACCCTGGGTTCTTTCTTTTTTTTTTTTTTCTACAATATGTTGCTTTTTCTAAGCAATATACATGTTATCTCTCCTATTTCAAACTCTTGGCTTCTGCACTTCAAGGCTTCGAATCCATCTTATCACAGAAGGCAACAAGGAAGAGGAGAAGGTAGTTTAAATAGTACGGAAAACACAATTTTCATTTTTAAATTAAAATACACAAGGTCAGCCTTGCTGGTCATAAAAATTTTAAAGTTCTCTCTTCAATCATATAAGATATCCCCAAGTAACTTATCCCTGCTAAACTTTAGCATGTGTGGATTTCCTCAACTGGAAGGGAACTGTGTGTGGAGTCTTAGATGAGGTGTAGGAATTTTTGTTAACGACACTGACTATCCTTGCGAGACGAAGGCACTATTTTATTTCTACAGATTTTTCATGTGAGACACTGAATCAAGAGAAAGAGATGATTTCAAGCTGCCACTATGTGTTTAGCCAAAACCAGAGTGCAATAGAAAATCTACCTGTTCTGGGCATACCTGATCACTTCCCTAGGTTTTCTGTATGAATAGAAAATAAGAGTCTGAGGCCTGTGAGACTGAGATATTTGAGTACTCTAATTTCATATGTCCTGAGACACCGGGAATATTGATCAGTTTGCATCATCTTTCTTTGAGAATCACCTGTGTGTTACACCTAAGCATGGCATTTATCAATTTCACACTGGATGTTCCTTGTTTACCGACCATAAACAAAATGTTAAGTGAGTTACTATGTTAACTCCTTCCTCAACTCCACCAACTCTTCCATGGCCACACCAAGTGTGCGTATGTGTGCACATGTGTACATGTGTGTGTGTTTGCATGCCTGTACATGGAGGGAGTTAGCATGTTCAGCCTCTCATCATGCTACTCATGTAAAGCCAAGACCAGACTTTCATTGTGAATTTCCTCATCAGATATTCCGGTTCCAGCTCCGTGTCTCGGCTGCTCATCTCTTGGGATTGTCTTTTCATACGTGCTGAACTTTCCCCAGGTCACCTCTACGAATGTCAGACCACATCCTAGGCTCCAGCAGCTTTTTTTCTCTCACCGTATTTACACACTAAGTTATCTGGAGCTAGATATTGCCATTTATCAAGTCCGAGCTATTACCTAACTTTGTAATGACATCAAAGGTTTTGCCCTGGGACTTCTACATTAACCAGGTCTCATAGAATATATTATCCCAATTAAAAGGGATATAAGTGTGTTGTTAGTGTTGTTTTATCTTTGTCAGTAACAGCTGCTAAGTGGAAAGGAAAGTAGACTAAAAGCTAAACAGAACTAATGCTTCCCTCCTCCCACTTTTTTTTTCTCTGTAGGCTGCAGGCACTTGTCAAAGAGAGAGGGAGAAAGTGATGAAGCACCCTTTGGTGGAATGGCCATGCCACAATTCCATCTCTTCCATTCTCCTCTCAGAATGTTGGGCACACATGCACACATACCCATGTTTCTTAAGCTGCGGGGGCTCAGACTCGAACCATGTTGTAGGCAATGTGGGATCTATCCACCCCAACCACCACAGCACCTGGCTGGCCCAAGAATTAATGTTGCTTATGACATTATCTTAGGGACAGTAAAATGAGCCATGCTCCACGGAGCCTTTAAGGTTTCTATCTTTCTGGTAGGATTAAAGGGGATAAGAGAAAGAAGGTAATACAGGTAGTTATACAATGTGTGTGTGTGTGATGAGTGGTATTGGCAACACAGCCCTGGTCAATTTTGAGTTTTCCTGTTTAAACCTTGTTGAGTATTATTTATGGAACTAATTGGAAGGCTTTCCTATCAAAATCATGCAAAATATTTTAAGTATCTTGAATTCGAATGAATTGAAGTCTTGGACTAGTAAATCTGTAACACTGTTACTCAGTATAGGTAATTTCACCCAATAGAATAAAAATTTATGAGGTAAATAATTTCTTCCTATGATAAGCACCATAAAGCTAATTGTGGGTATTCTAATTTTAGAGAACTAGGTGATTCTAATCATTTCTAGCTACTCTGTATAGTACAGACAGTTAACTTTATATTTTAGGTCTCTTTGCAAGTTTTACTATTGATAATCTAGTTTTACTCATTTACTATATATTACTATGAAGCTATTTTGAATTTACCTTTTTACTCTCCTTTTAGAAAACATTGGCTGGGGCCAACAGGTGGCATGGTCATTAAGGCACTGGACTCCGACGTGGCCATCCAGTTCAGTCTTGGATATGATGGCTTGCTTCTTCATTCTCTCTCTCCCTCTGGGGTGAGTGCACATGTCCTATAGCAAGTTTTAAAAAAAATCATCATAATAATAAATAAAATTAAATAACTCTTAAAAAAGAATACATTGGCCTTAAAGCCTGGATTAGTGTCAAGATGGACCAAATGGATTTTAAATATAGATATGACATGTTTAATTTTTGTGGCATCTCCTACCATTAAATAAAATTGTTGAAAACTCCATAGTATTAAGTGTATTGTTCCTATGAATCAGCAACACAAATTTAAACACTGTATGTAAGCTATTTGATTATACACCATGTCATATATATGCACACACACACGTGTGTGTGTAAATAGATAAGCACATTTCAATGTCTCAGTAGTAATGTGAAAAAGATACTAACAGAATTCAAAAGCATTTCTATTTTTAAAAAAATCCAAAATGAGGCTTCTATTAATTTATTATGTAAGAAAATAATGTTATTAAAAACCTTCCCTAAGCATTCAAATAATAAATCTCAAAACAAAAAGAGAACGCAAATCTAAAATTAAGATTCCCCAAGTTTCACTTAAACAGAAGTAAAATCTGTGTCTTTTGAAATGTAGAGATATTATCAAAGATTTTTAAAATGTCCTTTTTATGAAAACCCAAAAGGGAGATTTTTAACAGTCTTCACAATGATGCTGAAATTTTAATTCCAGAAGACTGTGGGACAGCTGGACATAGAATCGCTTGATGGCCTCTCTATGTACAAGATGATGTGTAAAATTTAATTAATTTTTGAAATAGATAACAGGATCTTTTGGAGACTTCAGTTCTTTCTTTGTAATTCCCAGCATATCATTTTATATTGTTACTATACAGTGCCTGTTTTTTTTCCTACGTCCCTTACCTGCTGATGGAAGTAAGTCAGATTAGAAGGGCACTCTACCCTGTACCTTAGAATAATCTCAAGAGAGTTGCCTTTCGACCAGTTATATTCTTCTTAATCTGTTTGTCTATGAATTTTCAGAGGTAGAGAACCCTTCGTCTAGCTTTTCAGCATTTCTTACAGTCTATTTGAGAGTTGTGAGGATACTTGAAATACTATTCTTCTTCATACGGCACTCTCACATAAATCCTTATATTTTTCATATGCAGTAAATTAATGTAGGATTAGCATATCCTGTATTGCTGTCATTTAATATTCCAAGTGGACGTGAAAAGTATATTCAATTATTTTCTCCATGAAATAGAAGATACTTTTTTCCTAAGTGGATAGAAAAAAGGGAGATTCTATTATTTTTATCCATTGTCTTTCCTGAACCTCTCGTTACAACTTAATCTTCTAAAGATGAGAGACTTAATTAGAATTTTAGTCATCAAGTCTGTCTCACTGCAATATATGCTAGAAACATCTAGAATTGAAATGAAAGGTATCATCAAAATTGTCATTTTGCAAGTGAAAACAGCTTAAAATGTATAGCATATTCTAATAGCCATTAGGTTATTGCATCAGTGAACTTTGAATTTATATGTCACAAATAATATAAACTGGATGCATTTAAGCCAATAGTATGATAGAGTGTATATAATCTTAATTAAGATTTGAAAAATATGGAACAAGGTAGCTAATGACCTGATGTTCTCAGAAAGTTCCGTTATGCACCAGTGTGAGCAACATTCTCTCGTCCTAGTAAACTGCTGACAGAATTTCTATTACTCTAGCTCGATTTTGCTGTCCTAGGTCTTCCTATAAATGACTTATGAAGCTAATTGTGTTTGGCTTCTTTGCACAACACAATGTTTTGAGATTTATCCATGGTGTTTTGTGTGGTGGTGATGTGTGATCTCTCATTTTTGAATGCTGAGTAGTTTTCTGCATGTCGAGTACATCTCAGTTTGTTTATCCATTTACCTCTTGATAGATGTATGAATTGTTCTACATTATGGCCATTTGAAATAAAAATTCCATAAATACATTTTTACAAGTCGTTTCAGTAAGAAATGTGTTTTGTTGTGGGTAGATATCTGGGCATGAAATTGCTGTGTCATTGTCTTAGTTTGTTTCTTCATTGCTAAGAGATATATCAGACTGGGAGATTTATAAAAAATAGAAAAGTTTATCTGCAAAAGTCACTGTTATGAAGACTGGGAGGTTCAAGAGTATCACAGCATAGTGGAAAGCAGAAATTTTAGCAGAGGAAAGCGTTGTCCATCTCCACATGACTTTCTGCTCTTTTGATTTCATTCCCTCTGCTCATGCAGAACGCAGTCCTGGAGGCCCATCCCAAAGACTATCACATCCCAAGGGTGCACTTTTCCACACCATAATAAGATAAAGTTTTTTTGTCCTCTTAATCCTGTTAAAATGACTGAACATAGGAATCCCGGGGGGGAGCATGGAGTCATAAAGTAGGTGTACATAAACTTTATTACAAGAAACTGCAAATTGTTTTCAAAAATGTTTTTACTGTCTTATATTCCCACCAGCTTCACATGAAAGTTCCAATTTCTCCACATTCTTACCAAAATTGGAAGGATGGTATTGTTTTTGTCATGTAAGTGAAAGTGAATGATATTTCAGAGTGGTTTTGATTTATAGCTAATGATATTGAGCACCATTCATAGACATATTGGCCATCCTTACGCTTTTTGTGGGGGGGCGGGGAGGGCTGGCTCAAGTTTTTGGCCGTGTGTGTGTGTGTGTGTGTGTGTGTGTGTATGTATGTGTATTTATTTTTCTTAATTTGCCGGTGGGTGTATGCATTTACCACAGAGAGACAGAGAGAAAGAGGGAAGATTAGAAAGCACACCCACCCCCATGGGAGATGGTCATGTCCCAGTCTCTTCTCCATCACTTCCTCCTTTTGGGATTTTGGGCACACATGCACACACACACACAGTATGTTTCTCAAGCTGCCTGGTTCAGAACTTAAACTGTACAGTTGACCGTATGAGATCCAGCATCTTTAACTGCTATACCAAGGGTTGGCTGCTCATATTTTTTAATTAGGTTGTGCGCCATCTAGTTTCCAAAAATGTTTCCCAATGAATCACTTTTCCTAGTATTCCTACCTTAGATAGTCCTTGCCCACATTAAATCCCAGGTGGTTCTGTGACTCATTATAACCAATTACACATGGCAGAAGTGATGCTGTACCAGTTCCAGGCCTGAACCTAACTGCCCAACATCTCCTGCTCTGATGCTCCAGCATGCTCACTGCCTCCTGTGAAGGCTAATTATCCTGGTGGAAAGAGAGGCCAGAAGGCTGAGATGCCACCTAGAGAGAAAAACCACCTGAAGGAGCCTTAGGGATCAGACTTAAACATGAGCTATTTTTTGGCATTGTAGCCCATTTGATTTCCATGGTGACTTTGTCCCCTGCTGCTATCACAGGGCAGAAGAACTGCCCACCCGATTGCTGTCAGCCCATGGTTGCAGCAAAGAATAAAATGGTGGTCTTAAGCCACCAAGTTTTACTATGTTTTTGTTTGTTTCATTTTGTTTTTTACATAGAAAAGCATGCTGTTTCCATTTTCACTATGGAGATATTCCTCTTGTAATATCCATATAAATCCTTGATCAAATATATTCATTATGAATATTTTTTCCCAGTAATGGCTTGCTTTTAAAGTTTCTTAAGAGTCTTTAGATGAGGACATTTTCAATGTTAATGAAGTACAAGTTACTGTTTTTAACAAAAGGTAGATTTTTTTTTTTCTATCTGAGAAAGCTTTAGCTACCTACCTATGAAAATAAGGGAAAAATAATCCACATGTATGGATGTGGATTACACTTCTCAGAGTTTTACTTACCTAAACTTTCATGCGTAAGCTAAAATACTTTCATCTTTAGATTTAGGAACCAGTAATGATTACATTTTCACATATTATATGTGGTAGAAATTAAGAGATTTTTTCCCCCTTAACACTATCTAGTGTTTTAGGACTATTTGTTTAATAAAAGTTTATAATTTCTTTATTAAATTAACTTTGAACCTTTGTTAAAGAGTCATTTATATCTCATTTCTATTACTGCTTTCTCTTGGCTCAATTTCTGTGTTGTTTAATTTCTTTTTTTTAATAATTATTTTTAATTTTGTTTATTCATTTATTTTGATCAGAGAGAGAGGAGAAAGTGAGAAAGCAAGTCACCAGGTCCAGGGCTCAAACCATGGTCTGCCATATGGGAGTGTCCAGCGCCTTAACCATCATGCCACCTGCTGGTCCCCGTCTGTGTTGCTTAATTTCATGTAACATCTGTACTTTGTCTTTATTTCTGATCTATTTCCATTGGTTAAATAATTATAGAAGGATTAATTTTGGTGCTATAAATTCTTTTCACTATCCCTGCTTCAATCTTCCTCTTTGGCAGTTAGCACTCATTCTTACCATTATTGTTAGTATGGTACCTCTATGTGTATAATAAGTTCACAACATACCTTTTGCCTAACTATTTTATAGCACTTTTATTTCAATTTTTGGTTTCTAGCATTATGTTTAGTGTCCCAGCTGTGAATTTTTAAAAATTAATTACACATGTGATAATGGGAACTTTTGAGACTTACGGAATGATGTTTTGCAATATTTTGTTTCTGCCAAATAGTCATCTGCTACTTTCTGGAATTCTGAACAACACATACAATCACAATTCAGTATTTATCCATGGATCATAGAAAATCTTTTCTATTTTTAGCATCCTTTTCTCTTCCACATATTTTTCAGTCCAATGATTTTTAGTGCCCAGTTTTTAAGTTCATTGATCCTTCCTTCCTTAGCATCTGTTTTAGGTGTTCAGCTTGATGGTTCTTTATTTTTTTCTTTCAGATAGTGTATTTTCTATTTTCTTTTTCTTTCTTTTTTTTCTTTCTTTCTTTTTTATTTGTTTTTTTTTTTTTTTTTTTAAGAGAGCTTTTTTTGATAAAACGTTTTATTTTTTTTTTTTTTTTTTTTTTTGAGAGAGATATTTTTGCTATACAGTGCTTGCACTTGCCAGAGAGACAGAGACATGGAAAACGAGAAATCACTCCCCGGGAGGGGATGGCCATCTGAAAATCCTTTCTCCTCTATTCTCCTCTAGGGATTTTGAGCACCCATATACACGCACTTGGCCTGAGTTTTAAAAGCTGCCAGGTCCAGGACTTGAACTGTGGTCAGCTATGTGGGAGTCCAGAGACATAACCATTACACCATCTGCTGGTCCCTAGATAGTGTATTTTCAATAATAAACATTCAGTCTTTTTTTTTTTTTTTAGTATTTACATTTCTCTATTGAAATTGCCTACCTAATCACTCATTCTAGCACCCTTTTCAACTGTATTTCTTTCATGAACAAAAGAGAGATAGAAACACTTGCAACAAGATCTTCATGCCATCATCCACCCTTAGCCTTCAGCCAGCCCCGGATCATGGCAGACACATGCCCTGCACACATAGGAAGATCTTTGGACTTGAACTGGGAATCTTTCCATATGAGATTGTTTCTTAGAGCATGATGTTTTACTACTGTGTCACTGCGTAGCCCTTGACCTTTATTATGAATTTGTTTCAATTCATTTCTTTCCATTTCAAAGAAGAAATTATGCTGACCTGTATTCTATGTTAATGTGACACCTTTGTATCTGCTCTTGATCTTCACATCATTTGTTGTTCACTGTGTAAATTTTTACCTTTTTGTTCTCTTTGGCCCTTCCCAAGTTTCTATAAATATTTTCTAACCTCTCTCACATTAAATAAAAGCAAAAAAAAAAAAAAAACTGAAATAATTTATTTGTATTTTTTTATTACTTTCATACCCAGGGGAGTTGAGAATATCATTTATAATCTACTTCTAAATTATTATACCCACTCTCCTCCCGTTAGATTTCTGCCCACAACATTGTTAAAATGCTCTAGTAAAAGCCACCAAGGTGTGTGACATTATCTATCTAATGACATGTTTGGCACTTCATTTATTTATTTTCTTTAAACTGTAAAACTACTAGACATTTACCCTTTGAAATCCTCCTTTTCCTGGAATTTCATCCTTTTTCTGTTTCTTCACTCTAATCTCTTTGTTGACTCTCTTTTATTGCCTGCAGATTTAAAACCAGTATTTAATTCAAATCACTGGCTTCAACAGATCTCACCATAATAATTGTCCCCAACTCCGGCCCAGCCTGATAGCACATTTGTTAACACACACAACTGCAGTGTTGGAAGCCACATAGTTAGCTGCTGGTTTGGCTCATGGGTTGGCTTATAAGCACTCTGCACGCTTGTGTTTGTGTGCCCAAAATCTCAACAGCGTGGAGGGTGAGGGAAGTGGGATCATGTCGTGATGAGACTCTGAAGGGTGCTCTCTTGTGTATGCACATACACTCTGTATCATGAATAAAATTGTAATAGTAATTGCCTCTAAATATTTACTTGTTAGCATATTAAGTCATGCACTGGGCAATTTCATCTAGATATCTGAGAAACAGGTTCCAGTTACTATGTCTGCAATTAAATCTATTATCAGTTTCCATAAATCATTTTCCTGATTCAAATATATCAAAGAACATGGCCACCACAGCCCTTTCAGGTAAGTTGTCATTCTTTCCTGAAATCATATTCTGCCTACTTACTCTTCAAACCCTGGAGCATGTTCATTTGAGATGTTTATTATTTCACTGGAATTCAAATAGTCCATAGGCTAGAATTTAAGTTATGCAGTTATAAGTCAGAGAAAATAGGGAAGTGGGGGGGTGGACAGGTGAGAATGCGGTGGCAATGCAGCTGTTCTCATGTGGGAAAGGTCTGCAGTTTGTGGCCCAGGATTTCTCCCATCAGTGACTGTGTATGTGTGCCAATGATCTGGGACACTGGAAACTCAGTGTGGATCTTGGCATGGAAAGCCTTTTGCAGGAGTCTGTCTCTGGCCCTCTCTCTAGCTTTTACTTTATCTCTCTCATGGAAGAAATGAATCGGGCTTTTTTTGTAAGTAAGGAAGTGAAGATGCAATTCAATAAAATGATGAGGGATCAGACGATGTAATGGTGATATCACTGGACTCCCACATAGTTGGCCAAGGTTTGAGTCCCAAACTCAGTGACTTTAAACTCACACCAGGCATGTGTGCATGCACATCCAAAATCCTGAGAGAAGAGTGGAGGAGAAGGAATTGCAGCATGGTCATCCTCCTGGGGAGGTGATTTCTTGCTTTCTGTCTCTCTGTCTCTCCAGCTAGCACACATACCCTATAGCAAAAATCTTTCTGAAAATAAAAGATTATGAAATAAATTGATATGCTTTGATGACATAAAATAGTATAAATGAATTATCAAAAGGAATAGAGCAATAGAAAGTGAATAAATAAAAGTTTTGTAGGTAAAACAATACTAGTGACATTTTTGAATAGTGGAAACTAGAAAAAGAGAGAAAAAGTATTGAGGATGACTTGAACTTTATTTGATAAGCTAAATATACTAGAAGAGATGACAAGACAGGATCTAAGGTTTATTGAGTGTCTATACTAAGCAGTGCTTCAGTTTTGTTACAAGTAGTTTCTCATTTAATCAGATTAGTTTATGTATTAATACATATATAATATTTTTTCTAAAGCATTGTTTAATTTTATTTTTATTGTGAACATTTTATAACTTGCTATGGAGCACGTGTGCTCACCAGAGTGAGACAGAGAAAGGTAAAGTGAGAAAGCAAGCTTTCAGGTCTGGGACTTGAACCCTGGTCAGTCATATGGGAGTTCACCTGCCACAATATCACCTGGTCCCCATAAATTAGCTATTGATGGCTCTTTTTTTATGGAAAAGAATATTAAGTTTCTGAACTATCAAGATAATTTCCAGTTACGTCTAAGTGACTAAATGGGAATCAAGCAAGATTATTGTAATAAAAAACCCAATGATGTTTTTGTCCCATGCCTCTCTAATTGTAACATTTCTACACTTAAAATATTAATTCAATATATTTTCATTAATTAGATACATAAGGAAACACATAAATATAGAGAACCCTCTTATTATCCTAGCACCATTTTTCACTTTGGATATATAATTTTTATATCAATAATGAGCATTATATATCTATGCAAATTCTGTACACATTTTATGATTTATAAGTAATAAATTCTAGAGAGCAATATACCTTATGAACACTCTGCCTATATATTATATTTATGTATATTTAAAACATTAAGAATTTTTAAATGAACCAAATTTCACAATTTAGGGCATTCAAATACTTGGTTATTTTATAATTTCTTAATTACATTTCATTGTTGTGCTTTTTTGAGGAGTACCGTGTGTGTGTGTGTGTGTGTGTGTGTGTGTGTGTGTGTGTATGTGTGTATGTATTTGTACCTATTTGCTAGAGGGCCTATTCACTGGAGACAGATTGAAAGAGAGGGAGAGGGAGAAAGTATCTGCCATGGGCGATGGCCACACTGCAGTCACTTCTCCTCCATTCTCCTTTTGGGATTTTGGGCATGCATATGCACACACCAACATGTTTTGTAAGCCACCTGATCCAGTACTAGAACCATGCCGTTGTTCAGGTGGGATAAAGCTGCCTTAACCACCAAGCCTCTGGCTGGCCTTATGATAGCATTTCTTTTTTTTTTTGAGAGTTTTTTTTTTGCTATAGGGCACGTGCACTCACCAGACAGACAGAGACAGAGAGAGAGAAAGCAAGAAATCACCCTCCAGGGGAGATGGCCATGCTGCAATCCCTTCTCCTCCATTCTCCTCTCAGGATCTTGGGCACGCACACACACGCGCCCGGCATGAGTTTAAGCCACTGGGTCCGGGACTCAAACCACGGTCGACTATATGGGAGTCCAGTGACATAGCCATTACACTAACTACTGGTTCCATGATAGCATTGTTAAAGCATGCATGCAGTGCGCTAGCCAACTCAAGGGTATTAACATATTCTTCATCTCAACAATAACATGATGCTATGCTGTGCACCTACTTTTCTTTTACTGGATTTTTTTTTTTTAAGAATTATTTTATTTAACTTTATTTATATATTCATTTTTAAAAAAAAAATTTAACTAGAGAGATAGAGAGAGAGAGAAGTGGGTGAGGGGGGGAGTGAGAAAGCAAGCCACCAGGTCTAGGACTTGAACTGCAGTCAGCCATGTGGTCCAGCACCCTTAACAATGACACCACCTTCCAGCCCCTGGATCTTTTTCTTAAAATATAAGATTGACGTCACCCCTTTTATTTTTACTCTGTTGTGAAAAAAATTTAACCAGAGAGATAGAGTGAGAGAGAAGTGGGTGAGGGGGGGAGTGAGAAAGCAAGCCACCAGGTCTAGGACTTGAACTGCAGTCAGCCATGTGGTCCAGCACCCTTAACAATGACACCACCTTCCAGCCCCTGGATCTTTTTCTTAAAATATAAGATTGACGTCACCCCTTTTATTTTTACTCTGTTGTGATATACAGTTCCATAACCTATTTGTCTTGTTTACATGCATTCTTGTCATTTGAAAATGTTTATTGCTTCATTTTATGTATTCTATCAATCTTAATCAAGTGTCGTTGCTTTGTGGTGGGAGGCAGAGGTGTATAGTTGTTTTAATATGAAATAATCTGTGTAACTAGAAATCATGTCTGTTCTTTATTGCAAAAATTAGGAAATTATAAGTAGTAATAGAATCCTAACAATTTCTTACATTTATGCAAAATAATAAACCCCTTAAATTCCATGCTGTAGTATATGACATATTTTATTGTAAAGAGATACAAGGGTTAGGGTGTGCTGTTACTCATGGTATGATAGTGACTTCATGAATTTTTGTATTTTTCAAGAATATTTAAGAATAATAACAATTATTTGGTAGGGTTGCTATGATTCTCTTAAATCAAGTAAGTATTTTTGAAAATATGTAATTTGACACTCTTCCATCAGACAGTAAACCATTCCCTCAATTAAGTACCTGCTATGTGATCATCTCTGAAATAGAAAGTGTTTGGCAAAACTTGCATAGCTGCTGCCTTTGAAACACTTAGACATGTAGAAAGAATTCTAATACTTAAGTTTTGTTGTTGTTGTTGTTTGTTTTTAGAGAGATTTTTGCTATAGGGCACAAATGCTCACTGGAGAGAAAAAGACAGAAAGTGAGAAATCACTCCCCAGAGTGTATGGCCATGCTCCAATCCCTTCTCCATTCGCCTCATGAAATTTTGGGCATGCACACCCACATGCCTGGTGTAAGTCTTAAGCTGCCGGGTTTGGGACTCAAACCATGGTCAATTATATTTGAATCCAGCAATGTAACCATTATACCATCTGCTGATCCTTTATTTAAATATTTTATTATTTATATGCATGTTTTATCAAGGAACGTGTGTACGGTTTTATGTAACTCTTAATCCAGGAAACTAATTTAGCCTTGAGATATAAGAGTCACTAAATAATTTTTCCTTGGGAACCAGCAGTTAGCGTAATGGCTATGTCGCTGGACTCCCACGTAGTCGACCGCGGTTCGTGTCCCGGACCCGGTGGCTTAAAACTCACGCCGGGCGCATGTGCGTGCGTGCCCAAGATCCCGAGAGGAAAATGGAGGAGAAGGGATTGCGGCGTGACCATCCCCCCTGGGGGGTGATTTCTCGCTTTCTATCTCTTTGTCTCTCTCTGTCTGTCTGGCGAGCGCACGCGCCCTACAGTGAAAATCTCTCCAAAAAAAAAAAAATTTTTTCCTTAAGGGAACTTTTTTTTTTAATTTAATTTGTTTCTATACTTAATTTGATAGAGTTTTACCTCGTTGCCATCCTTTTGTCAGTCTCCCAACTGAGATGACAGGAAAGTGCCACCATGCCTGGCTCATTTCTCAAACAAGCTCTTACTAGCCTCAAGTGTGGGATCCTCCTTTTTCAACCTCCTGGGTTGCTGGGTTACAGGCACATGCCACCAACTGGCCTTTTAATTTGAATCGAGAATTGAAACCAGGTCTCCCATGCGATCCCACCCTGCAGAGTATAGCCTCTTAGCAGCCACCACGGGCCTATGGGGTATTTTTTAAAACTAGACTTGACTGATAATAGATTAAGTAGATAAAGAGAGGAAAGATAAGAATTCGAGACATGGAAACACTAAGAGGTGAAAGAAAGCATGATGGATTGTAGGTATTCAAGGAGGCAAACCATAATAGCTTGTATATAACGCAGGAGGCCCACAAGGGCTTGAGAAAGCAATAGGAGTAAAGGACTGGACAATATAAGAAAAGTTCAGGTCATTCAAAAATTCATAGAACCTGTTAAGGATCTTCACCTAAAAAATACTAGATACCTACTACAGAGTAGTAAGCTGACTGGGTGATATGGTAAGACTTGTGTTTTAAAAGTCTACTTTGAATTGGGGTGGGGGGGGCCTGTGAAGGCCATTTATAACATTGCTGTGGTAGTCGAGGCTAAACTGGTGCCGCAGTAATGAATTTACAGAGAGATTCCCTAGCCAAGATCATTCTATTTTTCTTCATCTCAGATTGAAGCAGTATTTAGTCAAGAGCTAGCACATAGCGAAATAAACTTAACAGATTCCTTGGCAATTAGGTATGTCTATGTGATTGTGTGCTAGCCAATGAAGTATGTGTGAAAGTGACTTGTATCTATTCAAGTCTTGGCTCCTGAAACAATCCCACCAGGGCTTCTCAGTGGTTTCCCATACGAAAAAAGTAGCGAACTGTTGAATATGGTGGTGCTCACATCAGGCTGGATCACTGACAGCTTTTCACATTGCCTCTATTACACGGAGTGTAAGAAGTTTTCATTTGTGTTACATCTAAGGCTTCCTTATTGCATCAGTTGAACTATGCTAACTAATATACAATCTTGAATTTAATTTTTTTGAAGAGGTTTTTTTGCTATAGGGTGCATAAACTCACCAGAAAGACAGAGACAGAGACAGAAAGCAAGAAATCACCCCCCCAGGGGGGATGGCCATGCTGCAAGCCTTTCTCCCCCATTCTCCTCTCGGGATCTTGGCCACACACATACACACACACACACACACCCACACACACACACACACACACACGTACCTGGCATGAGTTTAAGCCACGGAGTCTTGAAACACGGTCAACTACATGGGAATCCAGCGACATAGCCATTATGCCAACTGCTGGTCCCAAATTTAATTTTTAAAATAAGTTTTTTTTGTATACTACCACTTCAAATCTATGTTGTCAAATCCATGTATCCAAAACAAGGGCCTTTAGGTTTCTAAGTTTCCATTGTATGAATCTACTACAATTTGCTTATCTTTTATTATGATTGCTCAGGGAGGTATCCAGTTACTAACCTGGTACTTTCCTGGTGAGCCACATGTTCTACCACTGCATGTCAGCCAGACACCCAGTTTGTCTCTTTTCACCTGTGAATGAACAATTTTCAGCATCCACCTGACTGTGGTTCTACATCACCTCCAAAGAGCTCAGCACATAAGTCATGATGGCTGGACATTTTACTGATAGGCCTCTTTTCCTCTGACTATACCATTGTATTTCAAAAATATCACCAGACAGAAGGTGAGAAATCACCCACCCCAGGAGAGATGACCATCCCACAATCCCTTCGTCATTCTCCTCTCAGGATTTGTGAGTTTCAAGCTGCCTGGTCCAGGACTCGAAGTGGTCCATCATGTGGGAGTCCAATGATATAACCTTTATTCATCTGCTGTTCCCACATGCATAAACTTTTATCTGCCATGCTAAGATCTCATTCTATTATGTATCCTGAATTCACTCATCTGGCAGCTGTTATTTCTTCTTCATAATGGAGTCCAAAATTCTTGTGCAATAGCAGTGATACTCCAAACTCTGCAATTTAGAGTCATTTCGAATAGGAGTAGACTATTTGAAAAAAGATAGAATTAAACCAGCAAGGAGATATTTATCGTAAATAATTTTTAATTGTTTTCATTATAAAATATGGCACAGAGAAAATACACAAAATAAAAATATACAACTTGATGGGGTATCAAAGTTAATTTATATAATTAGAATACAAATAAGGAGAGAATATCATTAGCTTCCTCAAAGACACTTCATTCTCATCCTCAACTTCTGCATTCTTTCTCTCCTCAGAGAAAAACATTGCCCTAACTTTTCTGGCAATAACTAACTTCCTTGCATGCCTTAGTATGCACACTAAACATAAAAGCTTATTTGACTTGTGTTTTGGAACTTACAAAAAAGTAATCATATAGCAGCCTTATTTTCTGTCTGGCTCTGTTCACTAAATATATATAAACTGCTGTTTCTATAATTTATTTGTTTTCATTGCTATATAATATCCCATTGTATCCATTTACAGTAGTCAATGTAGTTTTGGTGGGTATTTGAGTTGCTTTCTTTTTTTTTTTGATCTAAGATTATTTTTTATTTCAATTTCTTTTATACATTCAATCATATATGTCACTTACCTTATAAAGTGAATATTCCAACATGTATATATTTCTCACCAGTCCAGTTGAGAATATTATGCACGCTATCTTCAACAGATAATAACCTTTTCTTTGTCCCACAAATGCCTTGCTTCTCTATTTCTCTCCTTAATGTCTTTCCTCAGCTTTCCTCCTTCACCCACCCTCTTCCCATACTGTATCTGGTCTCTAACCATTTTCTGTGTTCCTATATCCTCTAGTCATTCAGTTTCAGCCATAGAGTGTGGACGTTCGGTATATATCAAGTGGAGACATACAATGTCTCTCCCTCATAGCCTGGGTTGCTTCACTCAGCAGTAAATCTTCCATATTCATCCACTTACTGTCAAAAGCCAGGGTCCTGTTGCTTTTTATGGTTGAGTAGTATTCCATAGAGTATATGTGCTACACTTTTTCAATCCATTTCTCTGTTCCTGGGCATTTGGGTTGGTTCCATGTCTTAGCAATTGTGAATAATGCTGCAATAAACATCAATGTGCAAGCTCTTTTTCAATTAAGGATTCTTCTGTCTTGCTTTCAATTTATGGCCTATTTTGGTATTTGTGTGAGTATTGAGGTATAAGAATTTTGGAGTATGGGGGTCAACAGGGGACATCATGGTTAAGGCACTGGACTCCCACATGGCTTACCACAGTTTGAGTCTCAGACCCAGTAGCTTGAAACTCTTGTCAGGTGCATATTTGTGGATGCCCCAAACCCCATCAACCATGGAGAAAAGTGATTTCTCACGTTCTCTCTTTCTGGCAAGCACACACACACTATAGCAAAAACCACTCTCTTAAAAAAAAATGGAATATGTGTAGATAAATTATCAGTTGCTTATATTTCTAAAAGTGAACTCTGATTCAGAGTATTGGCATTTCCAACTTTAGTAAATACTGTCAATTTTCAAAAAGATGTTTAACAATTTATATTTTTTCATGTAATTTGGGTTTCAAATTTTCATCACCTTTGTTAGAATTTTCTTTTTTTTTATATTGGCCATTCTGTTCAGTATGTATTAGCAGTTTATAATTGTTTTAATCAGAAATCTGTGTAATATGATTACATATAAGTTGAACATTTTTTTTTTGAGAGATTTTCACTGTAGGGTGCGTGCGCTCGCCAGACAGACAGAGACAGACATAGAGACAGAAAGCAAGAAATCACCCCCCAGGGGGGATGGTCACGCCGCAATCCCTTCTCCTCCATTCTCCTCTCGGGATCTTGGGCACGCACGCACACCCGCCCGGCGTGAGTTTTAAGCCACCGGGTCCGGGACACGAACCGTGGTCGACTACGTGGGAGTCCAGCGACATAGCCATTACGCTAACTGCTGGTTCCCAATTTTTTTCATATTTATAAATGACTTAGAAATGTTCAGTTGAGGGGGCCAGTATGTGGCCTGGTAGTTAAGGGAGGGGACTCTCACATGGCCAACCATGCAGCTTGAG